TTAATGATGGCCTTCAAGCTTCTTTGATAGTTCAAAAAATCCTTTTTCGTACAACCCACATTTTGATGACCCATCATCACCTCAGCCGTAACATCAAAAACCTTAGAGGGACCTACATTGACTCTACTAGCACTACACAACATGTGCTTGTGCGATGTAGAAACTTCCCTCGATGAAGATAGGAAATGTCTTCTGCTCGGAGTAACCATGGGATGGACATGGGACTCTTCGAACTGAACAATCTTACAACCCTCCTCACATGACACAACTAAAATACGAACACGACAACCTTCTCGAGTTTCAGCTCTTTTCTTTCTTTTTAGTTGTTTTGAGTTTATTGATTCTTCAGATAGGGGATACTGCTCAGAAAGGGGATCCTGCTCTTGAGGATGGGTTATAACTTCAAGGCCAGTTTTAGGTTGTTTCCTAAAGCCTTCTTTTGAACACACATATGTTTTCCAAGTTTTATCCCCATTTCTACTTTTTGAAGATGAACCACAACGTATGTTAAACCCTGATTCCCGGGCATACTGATTGTAGAACGTTTGGCATTCTACAAAACTCGAAAAAACTTGACATATTTTAATCTTTAAGTTGTCTGGTACATCAGGAACCCAATTCCCTAAAGTTATAGAAGCAAATGATGGCGTTTGTAGAAAACTAGAATCAATTGAATAGCTTTCCATTTGCATAAGATAAAAGCAACCTACAGAATATGTCAAAGAGGGAGAAAATAAACATAAACTGTAATTTCTTATCACGAGGAAAAAGTTAACATAAACCGTGTTCAATTTCTTTTGCACTTTTATTTATCTATCTAGAGAAAATCAATGCAAAAATGGAACGTTTAGAGCCAAAAAGAGCAGAAATCTTGAGGCAAATAAAAGAAGCTGAAGGTCATAAGACAACATGCTTCTGCTGTGGCAGAATGAGGCACATTAGGTTGCATATGTTCATGTTTGAATGCTCAGTATGGTGACGTGTAAGTGTGTAACATAATAGAATGTTAATTGTGTCCTGATATGTGTTTAACTTGTGACTCCAGTAGTTGTTCTTGGATCAATTAGACACTCAGTTAGGATTTATTGTGCTCTTAAATTAGACACTTGATCACTGCCTACCCTCCCTCCTACCACTGGTTTTGCATCACATCAACTAGTGCAATGGTGATTACTCTGCATTTTTGATAGTTCAATTTTTGCAATTTTGATAAGGTCCATTGAAAGCCTGTACAGAATGTATCCATTTTGATAAAACTCGCCAAACATTTTGATAAAACTCACAAAACATTACTGAGTTTCCACATTCTTGTTTGTATATTAAGGATGAATATACAAGCTAGCAACCAAAAATTAATCTTAGTACTCACCCATTTAGAATCCATCAGGTAACTCAAATCCCAATACTCAGAAATTCATAGGCACAACTTTTTTCATACCTTTCTCCATTACTTTCATCACAAAGAAAAGAACTCTTTTTGATAAATTCTCCAAAAAAACTTATCCTAAAAAGGCATAAAAAAACAGAATAGAATGAATTACCTGGTAAGTAGTATGCTGTCCAACAGATGAAGAAGAAGGAATACCCTTGACTAATCCAATGACAAGTTGAATTCGATTTCTTCCATATCTGGGAATCAAATGCAGAGGTCAGATAAAATTCGCGTGAAGAAGCCGATGAATTTGAAAGTGATTAGGAAGATTGCATCGGCGACAATTGGGGAAGAAGATGGAATGCATCGGCGACAATTGGGGAAGAAGATGGAAACGGGAACAGAATGAAATTGGGGAAGAGATGGAAACGTGAAAGAAAACGGGGAAGGAAACGGGAAATGAAACGGAAGTATGAAGCGCGCGTGTCATCTGATGGGAACCATCATCTTACCGAAACTCGTCATCTAACCGGAGTCAATCCTATATATATATATATATATATATATATATTTATATATATATATATATTTATATATATATATTTATATATATATATTTATATATATATATATTGGTTCAGGTGAGAATGCAATCTAATGAAAGAAATAAGAATGAATCTGATGCATTAGATTGGGAGATCTAAGGGTTAGGATTACATCAAAATTAGGTGCACCAAGATGGTTTGAAAATGCATCATGTCGAAATGCACCATAATTCTTTGAAAATGCACTATCTCAAAATTTGAGTGCAGAATGCAATCTGAGCCGCACGATGCATCAGATCCAAAGGCCAGGTTTTATTCTTATTTCTTTCACCAAGGTGCATTCTCACTTGAACCAGCCCCTATATATATATATATATATATATATATATTAAGGAAGTTTTATTTAGTCCGAAGAAAAGAAGTGGATACATCACATTTGATAGCTCCCCTAACTTTAGGCGGGAGACTATCAAAATAAATATAAATCGAAAAAACATTGTTTTGAATTGCATGTTGGGCCAAGTGATGGGCTGCTGTGTTTGCCTCCCTGAATATGTGATTTACTCGCCCTCCGGATCTATTGATGTGTTCCCTGCTCAGCCTGCTAAGAAAGTCGTTATTTGTCTGATCCTTAATTCTTTTAACACAGTTACTGGAGTCGCTGTAGAGATTGATTGGTGTGTCTAGGTAAAGACATCTTCGTAATCCACCGTAAGCAGCTTCAAGTTCTCCTTCCTCTGCGGATGTTCTGTTTTGGAGGTTGAAAGTCCACGCCTTTAGAAATTCTCCCTGTCTAGTTCTTAAGATGGCCGCTCCCGCCCCTATACGTTCTTGTAGTGCAGTGTCTGTTGTGAGTATTACTCCTTATGCTGGGAATTGCCATTTGTGTATGGAGATTGCGCCCATCTTCACCGAAGGTATGTTGTGTGTGATTCTGATGCCTTCTATTTTCTGATTCGATTGATTGATGATGACCATCCATTCATATGTTTTTTTAAGAATGGTGTTGATGATTTGTGAGACATTGTGTTCCTCGTCCTCGTAGACCCTTCTATTCCTTTCATTCCAAATTTCATGAGTAATTATGCCTGGAATGTTGTTGATCAACAAAGTGTTTTCTCTTTGTTTTTGTCCTTGCTTCCACCAGTTGGTTAAGTAACTCAAAATTCCATGATTGATGCCTCTGCCTATGCTGAAAACTTCCTCAAAGTATGTCCAGATTTGCTTGCTGAAAGGGCAATTCTGGAAAAGATGTGTGCTGCTTTCCTCATTATTCCTGCATAAAAAACAAATAGAGGGACTATGGAATCCCATTCTAGTTAGTGACTGGGGAAGGGGGAGGTAGCCAAAACAAAGTTTCCAAAGAAACAATGAGTGTTTAGGAATCTGCTTAGGGGTCCAGCAGAATTTAGTGAAAGGGTGGATGGGGTTTTTCTCTCTCAGTGAATTCTTTGCCTTCTTCATGCTAAAACCAGCATCATTGTTATTCCACCAAAGTCTCCCAAAATCATCTATATGGAACAGACTTTGCGCAATGTCATTGGCTTTGTGAAGTCTTTTCCAATAGATAGAGTCTATGATTTTGGGGGCAATGTCAAGACCTCTAGGGTATCTGGCCCTCATGAACTTTGCCCACAATGAATCATTTTGAGTATCGGTCCACCACATTTTGAGTCCATAAGCTTCTTGAATAGTGGTGAGATCAGTCAGGCCTAAGCCACCCTCCTCTTTGGGGAAGCAAAGTTTCTCCCAAGTGGCCCAATGATATTTATTTCATGCCAAGGATTGCCTCTGTTCTCTTTAAAATAGAATGGGATGTTTTTTTGGAGTGTAAAAAAAACATTTTCCCTGGTTAATTTTTTGACCAGAGCAATCCTCATAATCTTTGATCAGACACTTATATTTGGCTAAGATGTGTGACTGAAAGAAAGTGCCTCCCAAGGTAATATGGGGAGAGATGGCCAGAGGAAGTTTCTGCTTTAATGGTTCTGCTGAATGCTTCTGAGAAAAGAATGAATAACAGAGGGGAGATAGGGTCACCTTGCCTAAGTCCCCTATTAGGCTTAAAACTCTTGGTTTGATGGCCATTAACCAAAAGGGAGAAATGTGAGCTCTGAAGAAGANAAGATGTGTGACTGAAAGAAAGTGCCTCCCAAGGTAATATGGGGAGAGATGGCCAGAGGAAGTTTCTGCTTTAATGGTTCTGCTGAATGCTTCTGAGAAAAGAATGAATAACAGAGGGGAGATAGGGTCACCTTGCCTAAGTCCCCTATTAGGCTTAAAACTCTTGGTTTGATGGCCATTAACCAAAAGGGAGAAATGTGAGCTCTGAAGAAGAGTTAGGATAAGATTTTGGAATTTATGGCTGAACCCAAATTTATTTAGGACAGTCATAAGAAAATTCCAGGAGATCCTGTCAAAAGCTTTAGACATATCAAGTTTGATAACAAGATTTCCTCCTCTGGTAGGGTACTCTAACCCATGGATAAGTTCCTGGGCAATGAGTATCTGATCATGAATTACCTTTCCCTTAATAAATCCTCCTTGTTCTAGGGAGATTATGTGAGGTAGTAAGGAGCTCAACCTTTGGGCAAGAATTTTGGAGGACTTTGAAATTGAAAATAGATAGGCAAATAGGCCTATAGTCCTCACAAGTGATGGGATTCTCTTTTTTGGGGATGAGGATTATATTAGAGTGGGAAATGCACTTAGGAATTGGGATGCCTAGGAAGAATTCTTGGACTGCTTTAGTACAGTCTTCCTTGATCTCCTCCCAATTTTGTTTGTAGAATTCCCCATTGAATCCATCTGGGCCGGCTGAACTGTCTGCGGAGAGAGACCAAATTGCATCTTTTACCTCTTGTTCATCTGGCAGAATGGTCAGTTTATCATTATCCTCATTCCTCAGTAAATTAGGGATGTTGTTAAGGAATCTGTTGCCATCCTTTAATTCCTTTTCCTAAAAGAGTTTTTGGAAATATTGGAGAAACTCTTCCTGGATATCCCCTTGATGATGTAACCAGGTTCCTTGAGTGCTCTTAATCCTGGAAATCTTCGGATGTCTTCTCTTTTCTTTGGTAATTGCATGAAAGAAGGCTGTATTAGAGTCACCTTCTTTTGCCCATTTAATATTAGCTTTCTGCTTCCAGTATGAGAACTCCTGTTGTGTAGCTTGAATTAATTTGGCTTTGACTTCATGCATCTTCATTCTGTTTTCTGAAGTGGGTTGGTTGTCAAAAAGGCCTTCCATTTCTTGTAATTCTCCTTCCAAAAGCTGCACTCTATTGAATATGTTCCCAAAAATATTTTTGTTCCAGTCTTGGAGAATAGGGGCCAAATGAGCTAGTTTGCTTCCTAGACCTCTCATACCCCCTCCAGTGTATCTGCCCCAGCTAGAAACAATAAGATTTTTGAAAGTATTGTGGGTATTCCAGCAGTTGATGTATCTGAAGGGCCTTGGACCATTGTAGGTAGAGCTACTGATTTTGACCAGAATTGGAGAGTGGTCTGATTCTCCTCTAGACAGATGTCTACAGTTTATGTCTTGAAAAGAGATTAGGGAATGATAATTGTGAAAGACTCTATCCAATTTTCTCCAAACTCTCCCCTTGGATCTAACCCCAGTCCAAGTGAAAGGATTTCCAATGGTTGGTGGGGAAATAAGGGTTGTATCCATGAGACACTTGTCAAATTCTTGAATACTTTGGAGGCAGGGGGAGCTTTTACCCTTATGATGATCCACTGTAGAAATGCAGTTGAAATCTCCCCCAAGAATCCAAGGATGCTGGAGGTTCAGACTAGTTGTGTGAATGTTTTTTCAGAGGATTCTTCTGTCAGCAAGGGTGTATTTACCATAGACAATGGAAATGGTTATGGGGTTATTATTATGCAAGAAATGTATGTTAATGAGTTGATCCACTTCCTGGTGAGTTGTGTAATGAAGGGTTTCATCTTTCCACATAATCTAGGCTCTGTTGTCAGCCATAACAATGGAGTGAGTGAAACCAAGAGAAAGCTAGTAGTGTGTGATTTTCTGCTGATGTGTTTTAGGTTCTAAAATAGCAAAAAGGGAAATCTTGTGAGTGGAAGTGAGAATAGCTACCCTCTGGAGTTTGGAGGGCAACCCACAAACATTGCAGTAGAGAAGATTCATTGGGAAACATGTTGTTTTTGACTGTTTGAGGAAAGCTTTTCCTGAATTCTTTTTTATTTTCTTTGAACAGTGGTGAATGAAGCATCCACCTCCATCTCATTTTTCTGATCATGGCTTGGATTTGATTGTTGTGTTGTTTTTTCAGGTGATTCAGCTATGGGTAAAGGGACTATGTCTGGGGGTTCATGTGGTAACTCAGAGTCAGAAAGGTAGGTTGGGGTTTTTGCTTGCAGGTGGAGTTCGTCCAAGGTAGGAAGGGTTTTGAATTTCTGTGGTATTTTTGAATCAGAAAGGTAGGATGGGTTTTTGCTGGGGAGTTTTTTTTGCAGGTGGAGTTCATCCAGGGACCAGTGTTTTGTATGAGGGATGGGAGAGGTCTTAGGAGTTTGATGTTCTTCCTAGCTAAGGAGGCACTTAGAGTAGATTTGATCATGGAAGATTATTTCCCATTCTTGGTCTGCTAAGTCAGAGATTGATTGAGTGATTTTAGCCACGGATGATTGAGGATCTTGGAGAGGGTTATAGGGGATGGACTTATTTGTGGGGCTGTGAGTGGGGCTGGGAACACTGGGCTTGGTTGGGATATTTTGCAGTGTGGGGTCTTTGGTTGTGTTATTTGGAGGGTTGCTGGTTGAGGGATCTTCTTGGAGGAGAGAGAAGGTGTTGGATGTAGACAGGGGTTGAGAGCTAATAGGAGACTTGGTAATGGGACCCTTTTCAGAGTTTCTGTCTACTGGTTTTGGGGGGACTTTTTTGTATTGTTGCTGTTGATGTTTAGGAGGGGGAATTTTCAGGGAGGTTTTCGCCGGAAGCTGAGTTTTCGGAGGCTGATTCTTCTGATGTTCTTTAGTCAGTGGCAAGGTTTTAGGCTGTTGATGATGTGTAGGGATGAAGGATTTGCATTCCTTGCTATGTCTGCCCACCCCTCTACACTCATTACAGTACTCAGGGAGATCTTCAAACACAGCAGTGAGCAGCACAGGAGTTTCACCATTTTTGACATAAAACTTGGTGGACAAATGTTTAGAAATATCCACTTCAACACAAACACGAGCAGTTGATGGACGTCCAAAATTTTCAGTAGTTGTGTCAATTTTAATAGCCTTACCAAAGACATTTCCTATTCTCAAAAGTGAAGATCTAGAGTGAAGGTGAATAGGAAGGTCTTTGATAGCTATCCATAGAGGCAAGATTGGAGATTCATACCTGGGGTCAAAATCAGGAGTCCACTTGGAAATCCTCATTGAGTAGGAGCCAATCTTCCCGTCATGCCTTTTGAAACATCTGTGATAGTCATTATCACTGGAGAAATTAATAAGAATGTGATTGGTGTCTATGAGAGCCACTGTGAAAGCCATGAAACCTATCCTTTCCAGACAGAGGCGGATGAATTGGAGGCTTGGTCTTCCATAGTAGAAAGTGCCAACAAGAGCTCTAGAGAACCTCGCTGAAAGCTGGTTTACTTCATCTATGGTGAAGGCCACACAGGGGAGGCCTTTGTATTTCTCCACCTGAACTTCTTCAGGGATGATCGCAGCTGCACAATGCTGGCCATTGAGTGCTTGAAGGAAGGTTTTTGATGGCTGGTCTAAGTGAGAGCAGCCAGGAGTATCAATGATCGCCGGAGGTCTGCCAGTGACGCCACCGGCGGTGGTTGAGAGCATAAGAAGAGAGAATTCTTAGATATATATATATATATATATAATAAAAAAAACGTCAATTATTTAATGACGAGAGAATTCTTAGATATATATATATCATTTTAAAATATGTGATGACACAACTCAAGTAAATTAAGTAAATAAATTATAAATTTAGTCAAACATCAATTATTTATTTATAAATAGAGGAAATATTTTTTGTTTACTCATATATTAGTTTTTTAATTCAATGCCACGTGTCTATATATATATATATATATATATATATATATATATATATATATATATATATATATATATATATATATATATATATATATATATATATATATATCTAAGAATTCTCTCTTCTTATGCTCGTACGAGACAAATAATAAGTTTAAAAAAACGGCTAGGTTCGGCTGACATAAGGCAATTAATGTCATGCTATGACAACTCTAATCTCAGCCCTTGGATTAAAAGATGATTTAAATGAATGGTTGGGATGCATTTTTTATTTTAGATTGATTAACCTTGCAACTCTATCAGTTAACGGAGATCCATTCCACTGTCTCTCTCTCTACGCTACCATCTCTCGATGTCGACGACGGCTCACGGGTAAACAAAGAAACGAAATCCACTCACCATCGCGACGCAAGCCTCTCTCTATCTCGACGAAGACGACGGATCACTGTCAGAGTTTCTTCACCTTCAGTTGAAGGTCGGTCCACTCTAAAAACTGGTAATTTCTAATTTCTCCACCAAATTCCTCAGTCTCTTCTTCATCAAATACTAGTAGATTTTAGTTTCCCCGCTTCAAATTCACGTTTTTTGGTGATTGGTTTAGATTTTACTTTTTTGTTTTTTTGTTTAGATCTTAATTCTAGAAAACCCTAGTGCTTACAATGAAAATTTGAGATGCGAATTGTTTTGGCTTTTTTCTGATTTGTTTTATTTTTATTTTTTTTTTCTGATTGTTTGGTGATTTTTTATAACACCTGCGATTTTAGTTGTTACATTTTATCAGCTCTCTGGCTTTGCCTGCTTTATGGCTTTGTTTAATCATTTTAGATCTGTTTTTCTTTTTTCGCATTGATCCGTCGTCTTCGTCGAGATAGAGAGAGGCTTGAGTCGCGATGGTGAGTGGATTTTGTTTCTTTGTTTACCCGTGAGCCGTCGTCGACATCGAGAGATGGTAGCATAGAGAGAGAGACAGTGGAATGGATCTCCGTTAACTGATAGAGTTGCAAGGTTAATAAATCTAAAATAAAAAATGCATCCCAACCATTCATTTAAATCATCTTTTAATCCAAGGGCTGAGATTAGAGTTGTCATAGCATGACATTAATTGCCTTATGTCAGCCGAACCTAGCCGTTAAAAAAAAGATAAAGAAAGATAAAGATAATGGGCAAGAGGGAATAATATGCATGATTTGTAAAGGAACTGACATGTTAATGAGTGAGTGAGTGCAACAAACGAGGACTAAAAACCAGTTACGCAACAACCTAAGGACAACGTTATTTTCCCGTAAATTCATTCTCTAATCCTTTCAATTTCCCAATAATTTATAGGGAATGAAGGCTGCTATCCTTCTTCAACTGGCTCCTCTTCCTGAAGCAGGTTCTCTCGGTTGTCGTGGGCCCAAAAACCACGAACATCAACAAGCATGCTTGCCACAGTCCCACCCTGCTTGCAAGCCAGTAAATCAGTCAAAGTTATCCTCAAAGGGTCACCCGGTTTCACCATATCCCAAATTTCATCTCTCACGTCCTCGATGCATAGTTCATAATTCCCTCCATCGATCCACTTCTGATGAACATCTCTGGTGTGAGAAACATATGAAAATGGAGTTAGCGTTGTTATTATTATGGCCCTATACGGCCAACAAGAGGGAAAAGTGGCACTACAGAACCATGGCAAAACAATTTTAAGGAGCATGTGTCTGGTTACTAGAGACTCGTGAACATGCTCACAAACCACGAGCAGGAAACCCCAGAAGATTTATTAATTTAGGAAGAATGAATCGGGAAGCTTCTTAACTTACACAAACTCCCCTTCTTTACTTCCATTACGTTATTGCTTGCTTTGTTTTGCATATGAGGTTATAATGCATTCATCCCAACAACAACAAATTGACCAGCAACCGTTGATTAAGCATACCAAAAGAATAAGCTGGCAAGAAATAACATTCTTTCTAGTATTCTGACCTGAAGAGTGTATGAATGTCACTAGTTGTCAGAAATCCCTTCCCGTGCAAATCAAGACACCTAAACAGGTATGTTAATCCCTCAGGAGTGTCTTTGTTTTCAAGGGCTAGAACAAAGTCGAGAAAACTTTCAAAATCCATCTCACGACCATTAATGCCTCCAGTTTTACCGCGCCGGACATGCTCATCAAAAACTAGTGCCAAGAAAATAAAAGAGATTAAGTAACTTTGTACGATAGCCAAATGAAATTTCTAATATGTAAAAAATGGAATATTCCATAGGGGCCACTAGGTATGGCACCAACATATATGTATAGAACAGAACATACAGTTTGTAAATTTTAAAATTGGCATGGCAATTTTGTAAATAAATGGAACGTCTTTGCTGCTGCGATAAAGTGCCTTAGAATGGACTAAAACAGAAAAACCCACTCTCTATACTGAAACTGCACCTTGTGTGTGTGTGACTGTGTGTGTATACATATCAATAACAATTAATAGAAATCCATGTAATTATAATTTAATATGTATCAAACACTCCTCTAAATGAATTTGCAAACCTTTCCTGTTATAATTAATGTGCCTGTTTGGCAACAGCTTCAGTGCTTAAATTTAATATTTTGAAAAAGCTATCTCACGAGTTTTTAAATTTTAATGTGCACCCTTAAGAAAATATTCAAAATGCTAACTGAAAATGTTTTTCCCAAACAAGGCCAATAAAAGGTTTGGACATTTAGCACTTTTACCTCTCTCAATGAAAATATCTGTCAGTGTCCCCTCTGCATATTCTCGGAGTTCATGCTTGCTCAATGTTCCATTCATATCTTTATCGAGAGCAAGAAACATATCTGCAAGATTTCATGAAGAACTGGGAAACTGCATATCCATGGAACCCAATTGGGCAAAAAACTACATGAAATATTAACTGCCAATACTGAAGCAATTAGACACACATTTACAGGATTCCAGAATTAAAAGAACATTCTTGATAAAGGAGACATGCAAACTTTAAATGGAAGAAGCAAGAAAGACAGTTTACAGGAGAAAATTAATTTCTCAAATAGAAATCTTCAAGCCGTATCAAACAGTTCTTGTATAATTCACAATGTTCATGTTGTGATTTTAATTGAAAAAGATTTAGGAAAGCATTGCAATCCAACAAAGCTAGAAAGCACTCATAAACAGTTATTGCTGCTTCTGCCTAGCTGATTTAAAGGCATTATCACATTAAGAGTGTATCCAGCTTATTAGGGAAAAGTAATATGAACTCATATTTCATTAAGCAAAATTCTTCCGCAAAATAAAAGTGAGCCAAATTGATCACTGGATGATACATTAAGTAGGTAATGTTATTGTTAGAATTCCGGTGGGTCGAGAACAACGCGTAGAGTGTCGGGTAAAATTAACCATTTGCATATAGAACCAGGATCTACTATTCTAACCCAAAATCTTAAGCTAATAGGTAGGACTTCACCCTTCTACATATGCTAGTGGTATTATTCTTTATTTTTCGATGTGGGAACTCCAACACTCCCCCTCAAGTGGTAACTAGTCTCGCCTAGTTAGCACTTGGACAAACGGGTCTAGCATCTCAATCTCTTATAGCTAGCCCACACAACGGGCGGTGACATCTCAATACCTTTTAGCCAACTCAACCCAAACCACGGACAGGTAACTTATTTTGCTAAACCCACGTCCAACAACCAAGAAGAATCAAACCCGGACCGGACGTGCTCTGATACTGTGTTAGAATTTAGGATGAGGTTAGGATAACTGATTGGGCCATAAGACCTTTGAGTTGAACCACATTAAAAGAGCTTATATACCGATTACTTTTCTAATCAACTTCCGATGTGGGATAGACTCTAATAGTTATCAAGATAATGTTACATAAGCTTGTTTGGTTCAAGTAATCTGATTATTAAAAACCATATCTAATTTCTAATTTTAAAGCAAAAAATAGAAAAATAAAAATTTCCCCTCCCTTCCCCTCTAGAACATTCCAAAACCTCTCCCAACCATACCCCGAACATTGATGAGTAGACATTTAGAAGAATCTGAATCAATTTTAAATGATAGAATAGACTAATGGAGTGAGATGCAATGCCCTGCCTGAAAATGCAGCACTAACTCGAGCAAATTCAAACTAAAGGATAAGTAGAAAATAATACCCATACATCAACATGAATGGGACTCAATAACCAGATCAAAGTACTTACCACATATGCGCTGTGCAGAAGTCAATGAAAACCAGTTTTCAGCTTGTTCAGCATCTGAGACTTCTTCCTCACTTTCCTAGTGACCAGAATAGATAAAATTATACTCTGTCTTTATATAAACTTCTTTCTTTTTTTAGGCATCCCAAAATAATTTTCACTTTCCTTATAGGGAAAGAATTATGTGGTCAAAAAAATTGTCTCATCAAATTCTAACCACTCCTTCTTCAGTTCTCAACACTTCTCTTATACTCCGTGAAAGTCAAACAAAGAAGTTTATTCAAGGACATAGGGAGCAATACCATATGTCCATATCAATGTCTACTATGAACACAATGACATTTGACCGGCAAATAGCTACATACTTTTACATGTTCCCAAACGTGATATTAACTTTAACATCGAATGGGTGAATGAAACTAGTTAACTCAGTTATCAAACTAGCGCCCACACAGCCATGTTACCTGATGTAGTTCCATCAGCTCCTGGAGACAGTTACTGAGCAGAATCTTCTTTATGCAAGCCTTTCCTGTGGTAGAGAGCATGATAATTGGTTTTATTTTAAAAGGAAAGTAAACTATACATGGAAAGCCTTCAGCCCAAGAAGCATTATATATCTACATATAACAAGAGGCAAACCTCGCCTGTTGGGATCACAAAAGAAG